GGGCAGCTCGCGGCCTGGCTGTCCTGGGGGTGGTTGGACAGGAGCACCGATAGTGAACATTCCCAGCTCATCACTTCTAAGGGGCACGCTTTTTTCACACTCTGCCGTCTCCAAAATGTTCTCGGTTCAATGTGGTTCGTGGCAATAGTGGCAAAGCGCGTGATGGACATTCAGAGACACCGAGGAAGTAGGGTAAACCTGCAGGATTGGGGGGCGGGGGGCTCTGAGGAGTGAGAGGGCTGCAGTGGGCCTTGCCCTCTGAGACCAGTTTCTGGGCCACTCCCACCCTCCAAGTGGCCTGCCCGCTGGCTCCGTGGCTGGGAGGGGTGGGAAGAACTGCCACGTCCCAGAGGCGTGAGAATAAGGGTGTCTTCCCCTCCAGCACCCTCCCCTCCCTTTACTTTCCTCCCTGCCCGCCCAGGGGGAGTGGCTGCCCAAAGGCCTCTGTGCCTGCTGGGTGGGGAGTCCCACACGTTTGCCTTCTCCGGCTCCCGTGGGCGTCACGGCTGCCCTGGAGCACTGGCCCTGTGTCGTTTGAATGAAAAATAATACGATAATTAATAAAAAGCTCGGACGGCGTGGCTCAGTGGTTGAGTGTCAACCTATGAACCAGAAGGTCATGGTTCGATTCCTGGTCAGGCCACATGCCCAGATTGCGGGCTCCATCCCCAGTGGGGGGCATGCGGGAGGCAGTCGATCAATGATTCTCCCTCATCATTGATGTTTTATCTCTCCCTCCTTCTCCTTTTCTCTCTGAAATCAATAAAAATGTATTAAAAGTGAATTTATTTTAAAAATAGGCCCTAGCTGGTTTGGTCCTAGCTGGTTTGGATAGAGCGTCGGCCTGTGGACTGAAGGGTCCTGGGTTCAATTCCAGTCAGGGGCACATGCCCAGGTTGCAGGCTTGATCCCCAGTAGGGGGCATGCAGGAGGCAGCCAATCAATGATTCTCTCTCTCCCTTCCTCTTTGAAATCAATTACAAAAATGTATATATATATAATATATAAATAGTAATGCAAGAATAAATTCTGTGTTCTGTGTACATTGTAAACGTACTTTTGCGTACCCCTATATACCTCAAATCCGACCACTTCCTCTGCTGCTGCTTTCTCTAAGCCTCTGTCGTCTCTCACTTGATTTATCATGACAGCCTCCTGCCTGCACTCCGGCCCCTTCACTCTGTTCTCAGCCCAGCAGCCGGGCAGGTCCCCTCCCTCCCAGGAAGGGCCCCGCAGGGGCCCTGGCTTGGCTCCCCATAGCCTTCCTGCTCTCTCCCCTGCTGCTCCTCCTGCTCACTCTGCTTCAGTCTCATTGGCCTCCTTAGTTTTCCTTTCTTTATTCAAATACATTTTTATTGATTTCAGAGAGGAAGGGAGAGGGGGATACATCAATGATGAGAGAGAATTATTGATTGGATGTCCCACACTGGTGATACAGCCTGCACCCTGGGGCATGCGCCCTGAACTGGAAATCGGGAATCCAACCGTGACCTCCTGGTTCATAGATCAACGCTCAACCACTGAGCATGCCCACCTGGGCAGCCTCCTTCTTCTTTAAACAGCCAGGCCTGCTCCCGCCCCGGGGCCTTTGCTCTGGCTGTCACCTCTTTCTGGAATGTTCTTCCCTGATCGGCAGAGCTCACTCCCTTTCCTCTTTCAAGCCTGTGCTCAAAGGTCACCTTCTCAGTGAGGCCTACGTTGACCACCTTAGTACTGTGACTCCCTTTCCACCCACCTTGCCCTGCAATGCCGACCCCTTTTATAGCTATAATAGCTCTACTTCCCCACAGCACTGAATTCTTACTATTATGTGTGTTGTCTATCTCCCCCCGGGGGGCGAGGTGGGGAGGAAAAGAGTGGGGGTAGGGGAATGAGACATTGAGATGTAATTCCCTGATAGCAGAGGTCCTCACTTATTTACACCTGAGGAGCCTAGGACAAAGCCTTGCGCGTCGTAGGTGCTCAGTAGAGGTTTGTGGATGGACAGATTTGCAAACTAGAGAGGGATCGATGTGAGGTAATGTGTAATAAATCTTTGAGGAAAAGTAGGTGGTGTCACGGATGTGAGAAGGTAATAACTGAACTGGACCTCGGAGTACACCTGGAAGTTGAGGCAGGGGACTGGCAGTTGAAAAGCATGGCGTGGGGAGAGCTTGGCGGTGGGGCAGGAGCTGGGGGAGGTGTGACAGGAGCTGGAGAGGGCACTAGCAAGCTAAGTTGAGGCCAGACTGTGCCAAGCTTTGGATGAAGGCACACACAGGCTTTTCCCACTGCCAGGACCAGCTACAAAACGTACGGGGCACTGTGCCAATGAAAACGCAGGGCCCCTTGGTAAAAACTTGGGAATGACAGCAGAGTTTGAGTATTAAATCCAGCTCAGGGCCCTTCTCAGAGCAGGGCTCTGGGTGGCTGCACAGGTTAGAGGCCCATGAAGCCAGCCTGCCTGTCCCATGAGGGAGCGGTGAGAGCCTCCAGCAGGACAGACATGCCATCGGAGCTGGACTTAGGAAGATGGTTCTGGCATGTCTGGTGGGGCAGGTCAGAGGGTGGCTAAGCAGAGAGACCACTTAGGCAGGCTTGTGCGCAGAGTGAGGGGACAGGCGGGATGGGGTAAGGCGGGCCGGGGGCAGAGCACAGGGTTGGGAACCTGTGTGACAGAGCATGGAGGAAGCAGAGTGTCCTTAGACAGAGCGTGGGCCGGGAGACTCCTGAGCACCTACCTCTGCTCTCCAACCCCTTCCTCCTCCCCCTTCTCTCCAGACATCGGCAGTGCCGCTCCCTTTGGCCACCAGAGGGCAGATCATTCTCACGGATTTTTTTCAAGATGAATTTGGGTTTGGGGGGGAAAAGGGGGAGGTGGTAGAATAGCCTCTGTTCTCACCTCTTCCTTTTCTTCTCCCTCAACTCCTCTGCGTTTCTCCCCAACTTCTCCCTCCATGGCGGGGAGCCTGAAGAGCTGGGTGGGCACGGGGAAGGGGAAGTGTCGCTAAGACTGTAGGGGGTAGCTGTTGCCATAGGAAGTATTTTCTTTTTTTTTTTTTTTTAATATATTTTATTGATTTTTCACAGAGTGGAAGAGAGAGGGATAGAGAGTTATAAACATCGATGTGAGAGAATCATCGATCAGCTGCCTCTTGCACACCCCCTACTGGGGATGTGCCCGCAACCAAGGTACATGTCCTTGCCCGGAATCGAACCCGGGACCTTTCAGTCCGCAGGCCGACGCTCTATCCACTGAGCCAAACCGGTCCTGGCAATAGGAAGTATTTTCATACCACCCTCCCATGGCAGCTGCCCGGCTGCCTCTTTCTCGGGTTGACTTGGCCAAGGGCTCAGCTCAACACACTGTAGCCGGGAGCTGGAAGTCAAAGGTCAGAGGTCCAACCAGCACTCCGCCCCCCCCTCCCCCCCCAATCCCTGCCCCTTTGGGAATTCGGTGGCTGGACCTGGCTCCTGTGGGGATTCTGGCTTCTGCCCACCTTAAGCTGCCTTTGCGCCCGGGAAAGGGGGGCAAGTTCTAACATGTCTGGAGCACTCTGGGTGGGGGCAGCTTGGAGCCTGCGGCCTCTCCCTGGTGAGCCAGTCTAGGGGAGGGAAGAGTGGGCCCAGGCTGCCACACAGACTTCCGCTAGAGTCAGGGCTCTCCAAAGGGGAGCGGGGCTCAGATCAGGAATCCAGCCACCCGGCTTTATTGATGGGAACATGAGGCCCAGGAGAGGAAAGGAACTCCTCCAGGTACTCCTTCTTAGTGTCATCCCGCGAGATTCTCCTTTTCAACCTGTTTCTATTATATTTTCTTTTCCTGGAGTTTCTTTGTCTTGGAACTGACATGTGAATTAAGATGAGAATGTCTCTCTTATCTTACTTTGCAGGAGTATTTATTTATTTAAAATATATTTTTATTGATTTTTTACAGAGTGGAAGGGAGAGGGATAGAGAGTTAGCAACCAAGGTACATACCCTTGACCGGAATTAAACCTGGGACCTCTCAGTCCGCAGGACGACGCTCTATCCACTGAGCCAAACTGGCTTCGACTTTTTTTTTTTTTTTTAATATATATTTTATTGCTTTTTCACAAATGGGAAGAAGAGAGAAGGATAGAGAGTTAGAAACATCGATGAGAGAGAATCATCGACCAGCTGCCTCTTGCACACCCCTATTGGGGATGTGCCCCCAACCAAGGTACATACACTTAACCGGAATCGAATCCGGGACCTCTCAGTCTGGGTGATGCTCTATCAACTGAGCCAAACAGGCTTCAACTTTTGCAGGAGTGTTTAAAAAAGTACCTGGCGCCCAGTGGTGTGGCTCTGGTTGAGCATCGATCTATGAGCCAGGAGATCACAGTTTGACTCCTGGGCAGGGCACATGCCTGGGTTTCCTGCTTGATCCCTAGCTGAGGGAGGGCAGGAGGCAGATGATCAATGATCCTCTCATCGTCAATGTTTCTCTCGCTCTTCCTCTCGAAAATCAATAAAAATATACTTTAAAAAATAACTAGTACTTTAAAAATAAATGAAAAGGTAGCTGGCAGGATAAGATGACTATAGTGTGATGTTTTGTGCTATTTTGAATAATTTAAAGACTTTTGGGGGGCGTGGGGGAAGGTAACTGGAATTCAACGATGTTATTTAGAATGTGATTCTGTCAATATAGGGACGTCGAGGAGGCTAAACTCAGACACAATATGTGATTTTCCCAAGATCACCCAGCATTTTCCCTCCACGGGGCTGGGCCACCTCTGCAGCCTTTCGCAGCTGGGAGCCAACGACGCTGACCTGGTGCTGGTCTGGGATCTGGACGAGAAGCCAGGCTAGCAGGTGGAGGGTGATCAAGGGTAGGGAGACAGGTGATGGAATAGTGCTGTACTTGACAGGTGACAGACATATTGATAGGTTGGGTGACCACCGAGACGGGTTTTATGAGCTGACCCCACAACAAACGGACACGCGATGGGAAGCTGCTTTAGAATCGCGGGGACGCCCAACAGCCTCATTTTCTATTTAGTCAAATAGCAGCACGCACAGGAGTTCCCCGCTCCCCGTTCAAGGTCTGAAAATAGCCGACAACTGACGGAAAGAAGCGAAGAGTTGGACTCGGCTCCACTCGAGGGAATGACCCGGGGCTCGCCGGGCCTCGGGTGTTGCCGGAAATGGCCGACGCCGCTGGCTGCGGGGCGGGGCGTGGGCGGGGCCGGCTCTCCGCACGCGGGCGGCTTCGGGTGTTTCCGGAAACTGCCGAGAGCCAGCCGGAGTGGGCGGGGCCAGGCCTGTGGGCGGGGCCAGGGCACCCGGAGTCGCTTCGTGGATTTCCGAAAACAGAGCCGAAGCCCGGTCCTCGGGGTCGCGGAGGCGCGCGCGTCCCCGGGGGTTGCCTTCTTCGGCGTTTCCGGAATCCGCCCGTAGTCGGTGGCCGGGAGCAGCAGGCCGGCCGCCCTCCCGTCCCAGGCCGCTTCGGATGTTTCCGGCTGCCGCCGGCGGAAAGAGCCGAGGGCCGGCGGTGGCGGCGGCCATGTTGGGAGCAGCAGGTCCGGCGGCGGCTGCCTGTGTGCCGGGCGCGGAGCAGTGCCGCTGAGGGCAGGGGAGGAGCGAGGCGGGCGGCCGGCTGCGGCGGCTGAGAGTAGGCGGAGCGGCGCGGCCCGGCCGAAAGGCGGCACAGCCCAGCCGGGGGTCGGGGGGGTGCGGCCCGGAGCCGCTCGGAGCCGGCGCGGCCTAGCCCGAGCGGCGCATCCCCGGGCTGGCGTGAACGGCTGCCCGGCCTCCCCGCACCCCCGGCCGGGGCCCATGCGGCGGGTGCCTCTGCTGTGAGAAGCCCCGCCCGGCTGGGCTCCGCGCCTTCCCTTCCCTCCCTTCAAGCTTCTCGGTTCCCTCCCCTGAGGTACCGGCGCCATGTCCAGCGCCCGGACCCCCCTGCCCACGCTGAACGAGAGGGACACGGAGCAGGTAAGGAGCTCCGAGGGCTCCCGGGATTCTCCGGCTGGGCCCCTGCACCTTGCCGAGCCTTCTCCCTCCTCTGCTCTCCTCATGCCCCTGCTGCCAACCTGCAAGCCCCAGCTGCCCTGTCATCCGTCTTCCGGCCCCGCACATCCCCCTCCGAGCCCCGTCCTGGGACCCAGCTCATCCGGGCTGCAAGCTGCACACTTGTCTTTCTGCTGACCCCCCCTTCCCTTCCCCGCCCTCCCGCGCTCTTCCGTGTTACCTCCCCAGCTTCCTCTTCTCTTCCCTTTTTTCTCAGGGGCCCTTCTGGTCTCCCTCCACCCACGCTCACAGCAGCCACCCTCCCTCTGCTCAGCGGGTAGCACCCAGCGATTTGCTCCAGGAGGTCGTGCTCCACCTCCTCCTCTGCCTCTCAGCCTGGTGTCCCCTCCGCCCGCGCAGGTCCTCCCGGCCCCTGGTTGTCACCCTCGGGGTCCCTGCCCCGGAATGTGTTCTCGGCCCCCTTCCCCCCCCCCTTCCAGTTCCCCAGTTCTGTTTTGTTTCTGCCCAGCTTCTTCCGTCTCCAAATGGTGCTCTCCCTCTTGCTTGCAACCCACCAGCTCCACCCTCATCACCTTTCCAAATCCTTCGCCTACTCTTCGCTCATCACTTTCCCTCCTTCTCCCCAGCAGCTCCCCGTGCCTGCCTGGCGCTGGCATGTGTTGCTTCCGCGTTTCCCCTGCAGCTGTCATGCGCGCACTTTTCCCACAGGTTGCCTTTGGGGTTCCAGTCATCACTCCCTTCCGTCTTTGGGTCCCCGGTGCTCCCTTCCCCTGGGGTTTGGCTTTTAAATCTCCAGGCCCCCTGGGTCTCGCTGCCAGTGCTTTGCCAGCCCCTGGCAGGGGAGAGATGCTCTTTCAGCCACCCCATGCACACAACCTGTTGCTCAGCTCTCCTCCCCCCTTGCCTCAGCACTGCCCTGGTCTTTCTCTCTCCCTGCGATGTCCTCCTGCCTCTTCACTCGTGGATCTGCCACTTTTCCTGATCTCGTTCTCCTGGCCTGCTGCCTCCGTTGCTCTGCTCTCACCCCCTCTGCCTTACTGTGCCTCTTCATCAGGATTGCCCTTCCCTGTCCATGTTAGTCTCCTGCCTTCTTCACGTATTTATTTCCCCACATACGCTCCTACCCTCTCCCTTCCGTTGCAGCTCGCCGTGCAGGCATTTTGCACACTAGTCTCTTGAGCTGCTCTCTCCCCGTCGTGCTGACAGTCACGACTGTGGTTTCCCACCCAGGCCTTAGCTTTTCTGTGTCATCTCACCTCCGCGAGAGCCCCTCCCCTTTCTGTCACCATCTCCGGTGGCCTGGCTGAGTGCTCCCTGCCTGTCACACCTTCTCTTGCGGGCTTTGAAAAAAAACTGAACTTGTCCCCTGGGGCCGCAGTGCTTTTTGCATCCTTTTGCCTCTGCGGTTCTTTATATCTTCCTCTTGTTTCCTTCTTTATGCCATTGGGACCCTTGCTGCATTTTCCCGCATGTTAACATCTTTCTCTGAAAAATATTCCCTTTTCACCCTCCCTACATTTTTCTCTGGTTACCCTCACTCTCTGTCACCGGGCAGTCCAGAGAGGGCTGGCCTTGGTGCTCCTGTGCGGCGGGGAGGTGGAGAGGGATGGCTGATCTCCGTGTCGCCGCTGTGGGGTCTGCACGGGGCGGTTCTGGAAGCAGGAGTGTGGTCTGCTGGTCATGGTCTCCCCCGCTGGCCTGCTGTTTCTCTCCTGATGGGAACCACTTGTTCTAGGCCCTCCCGAAGCTGCCTCTTCCATTCCTTTCCCTATCACCATCGTGGCCCAGCAGGTAAACCCTGCTCAACCAGAGGGCTTTCCCAGGCTGTTGATTCGGAGCTGGTAGGAGGCGGCCAGGTGACTGACGGGCTCCCTCAGGCATTTGGGGAGTGGCGATGAGTGCCTGCTCCCAGGGAGGCTGTGGGGGCATCGTGCCCTGCAGCAGAGGGCACCTGGCTGCCTGGTGCCAGTCTCCAAACTGTAAATGTATTCTTGCCATGGCCTTTTCTTGTGATGTGTGTGTTAATTTCTTCTCCTCCGTAAGTGCTGAGCGCACAGTAGGCACTTGGCGCACACCCATTGATTGTATGATAGCAGTAATCGGGGCACCTTTTGGCAATAGAAGCTGCTCTTCCATAACCTGTGCGGAGCCGTGGCTGCGCACATTGTCATTCTGTCCCAAATTCCCAGTCACTCATCCGGTTCCGGCTCTGTATGGTCTTAGGTTCTCCTGAGCCGCTTCATGGCTTCTGCTCATGGCAGCCAGTCTTACTGGTAACTTGATGTTAAGTCTCATCCTATTAAAAGCACAGACTTTGGAAAACCGTGGGTCCACCGTCACAGGCAGGTACCTGTACTGTTTAGAGCAAGAAAGAAGGCAAGTTGCAGCTCCTTTGGCCACAAGATGAGCTGCTGGAAGCAGTGGCTCCTTCAGAAGAATTTGTGCCGCGCGGGGAGCAAGGAAGCGCTCTGGTCCCGTTGCCCTTCTGGCTGAAGCAGTCAGGGGGCTCAGCCTGCAATAAGCCGAACTGCCGTGAAACAGAAAGCAAGGGGTTTGGTTGGGCTGATTTCTTCCCCCCAAGGTCCTCTATCACCTTATTTAGATTTAAATGATTTAAACTGGCTTCACCAGGAACTAGGTAAACAGACTCCCCTGGTTGTCCTCAAGTTCCAGTCTCTTGCTCTTCCTCTCCCCGTCTTTAAACCTGTGGCTGATGAGAAGCTGTTTCCAGGAGCTCTTTGATCCCATCTGAATTAAACACACAAACACACACACAGAAGATGTTAGAGCATGAAAACAAACCTTGCGTTGTAGGAGGAGTGCCTGTTTGCTGTCAGCTCTGCTGCTAACAGTGAAAGGAGGAGATAACAGCAAGTCAAGCCCTGTCCTTAGCGTGATGGTGGTGACACGTGACTTCGGATGTGCTCCGCACAGTCACAGCCTCTTCCTCTGGCAGGAGGGCTGTGGCCTCCTGGGCTGGGAGTTTGGGGGATTCTTGGTCTGTGAGCCGAGCTTTCTGTTCACTTTTCCAAATGGCTCCTCTGGCCTGCAGGCTTGGCAGTGGTGGGAGCAATCAGCAAGATGACTGCTTGCCTTCCCAGCCACTGCGGTGTGCAGAGGGTCCAGCCTCCAGAGCCGACCTGCGCTGCTGGAGCTCTCGGTAGCACCTGCGGAGGCTGCATGGCTCCCTCCGGCTGCTCCACCTCTGGGCCTGTGGAGCCCCGAGAGGGGGCCCTGGGGAAGACAGGAGCCTTTCCCTGCCCGCCCCCCTCTGCTGTAGGGGCACGGGAGGTGACGCTGTCATTCTGGGGAGGGAAGGGCATTGCTCATTCTCAGTCTGGGAAGAGGCGTTTGGAAATCTGAGTGAAGAGAGCAAATCCAGCATAAGATCGGGAAAAGACCAACGGAACCACTTCAAACACATATCCCTTGGCCCCCAGGGCTGGTCCTGGCAGAACGTTGCCTGAATAGTTTGGTTCTGGTGGCATCGAGTAGCTCCATCAGACCCCATTTCACCGCAGCCCCGCTCTGGGTGCCACCTCTGACCTCTGCCCTTTGACTCCTTGGTGCTGCTTTGTAGTCAGGGCTGCGGGTAAACGTCAGGCCGTAGGTTCTCATTTCATGGTCGGCCCTCGGTTCTTACAACTAGGGCTTTGGAGTCCCTGGAGTTCATAGAATTGCCATCTCGTGACCTTTGACCCCAGTGAAGGTAACTGCTAGTAAGTTCTTATAATCTCTCTGATCTGTGGGTTTGGGGAAGTGGCTAAGCAGATGGATAAGTCATTCAGCTGCTTAAACTCAGGCGTGCGGAGGGATACTGGGCTTTCTGATGGAGCCCAGAGGCTGGGCCCACAGTTTTTTTCGTTGTACGTGTCTTAAGCAGCGTCGATGCCTTTGAGGGAGGAAGAGATTGAGAATCTGTACCTGAGAGATTTGCCTGGTTAGATCTGAGAATCAGAAGCTGCTCAGACCAGACTGCTTTCTCTTTGGCCAGAACAGCCTAATTCCCAGTCGCCATCTGACCAGGCCTCACCCATGCCTTCATGAACTCTCTCTCATGAGCACTTAGCCACCCGGCTGGCATCTCTCCCCCAGGAGCTCCCATGCCTTGCCTACATGTATACATTATGTCGTCCTGAATGAATATTTTATGCCTAGAGTGCAGCCACGCTTCAGACTTTGTGGCCATTACCGACGAGCCGGCGGGGGGGCTGGGCGCCACCTTTGGCCTGATGATTGTGTCTCCACCAAATGGACTCCCCTCGCAGCACTTTGAAGCCCATTAATGGACGGGGAGGCAGCTACCTCAGCAAATGGAGGGCGCGGAGGTGGCCGCCTTCCTGCCCCAGACCGCCTGCCGGGCTTCCTCGGTGACCGGCCCTCTGCTTGGAGAGGCGCGTGGGGAGGGTGCCTTTTCCGTTACTGTGGGTGCTGCCAGGTGTGCCCTGTCCTGTCAGAACACACATCGAGAGGGATGTGGACAGGTGGTGGAGTTTAAACACGGCCCTTCCTCCTTCCGCGAAGCTCAGCAGAATGACAAACAGTTAGGTGGCTGAGTCTGCTTCTCTTGAGGGGAGATTCCAGCGTTTGTACATTTTTCACTTGAAGCTTGGATTCTCCAGGCTTTCTCCCCGCCTTCATCAGACACCAGTGAGTCACTGAAGTGTTATCTGCGCTTTCCCCTCTGTCTCCGCAGAGGGAAGAGAAGCCTTTACAAACCTTGTGGGGAGGAACCACCCGTTTCCCACCGGGGCTGGGGAAGAGGCCCCCTGTCCCCGTGTCAACCCTGCGGGCTCCCGCTCTGAGCAGCATGTCCCTCCCTGCCCACCGTCTCTGAGGCTCTGAGAGGCACACCTGATCCTGAAACGCCAGAGAGAACCGGGCCTCTTGGCTCCCAGCTCTCCCTTGGCGGGGGAGGGACCTGCTCCTTTCGGGGAACAGGCTAGATCGCTTCATCTGAATTG